TAAAGATAATATTTTATTTTTAAAAAGTTGAATAATTTTAAATGCATTTTTAATGGAGGTAAATTAAAACTTTAATTACTATTGTCATTAAAAAGTTATTACAAATTTTAAGATATTATAAGCTGTGGAGAGGTTAAAAATATTCGTTGGAAATTTGAGGAACTGGTTTCTACGTGGAAGAGTAGAGTATAGCTGTTGATTATTATTTATGATTTAATTGATAATATTTTTACGTCATTAATCTATATATATATATATAGATTAATGACGTAAAAATATTATCAATTAAATCATAAATAATAATCAACAGCTATACTCTACTCTTCCACGTAGAAACCAGTTCCTCAAATTTCCAACGAATATTTTTAACCTCTCCACAGCTTATAATATCTTAAAATTTGTAATAACTTTTTAATGACAATAGTAATTAAAGTTTTAATTTACCTCCATTAAAAATGCATTTGAATTATTCAACTTTTTAAAAATAAAATATTATCTTTAATTCACATTTTCTTTAATTTTCTTTAATTAAAAATTAAAGAAAATTTTAAAAATTTATTCATTTCATGAATAAAATAAAATTATTTATGATTTCATTGATAATATTTTTAGGCCATTAACTTTATTTAAAAGTTGTTATAATTTTTAGAACAATTTAAAAAAAAAGTTAGCAAAGGCTAGGATCAAACCTAGATTGCCCACGTTGCAAGTGAGTTTGCTACGGAACCAGCCATTTCGCTGCACTGCCATAGTGTAAAATCGACCAGTATATAGCTGCAATTAAAACTTTAGAGCCCTTTTCTTGGAATCTTCTGGCTAGTGTGCTTTACAATTCTTCCAAGTGGACACCCTTGAGGTGTACTACTAACCTGCGAAGTCTCATCCCGAACTGAATTTCCGGGACCGTAAGGTCTCCTTGTCAGACATTTCTGGCATTCTGAATAGTCACTGTTACATAAAGAATCTTTTAGAGGCTGAAGTAATATCATTCCTTTGGATAATTCCTGACATTCTCTTTCAAGATGACATTGCTCATCCAAATATATGGCACAGATTGTCAGGATTTCCAACATAAACAACAGATATCAGTTTTCTCTTGTAACATAAGTAATCTATGCAATAGATTTTGCAAAAAAGACTAATTTAATTTATAGATAAGATATATAATATGCATATAATAAATAAGTATATTAAATAATTTTAGGAGTATCCATTATTGTAATGGAAGTGGCTCTTTTATTGGAAGCAGGATGGGAAGATAAAGTGCACCAAGTCTGGGTTTGCATTATTCCCGAAAAAGAGGTAAGTGTAATTTGGATCATATTTGACAACATTTAAAGATTTCTTAATTCTATCAAAAATTTTCTTAGGCAATAAAGAGAATTAGGGAACGAGACGGTTTGTCGGAAGAGCAGGCTTTACAGAGAATAAATTCTCAAATGTCAAACAAGGAGAGGGTGGATAGAGCAAATGTGATATTTTGTAGTTTTTGGGAGCCAGAATATACTATATCACAGGTATTTAAGCATTTTGCATAAATATATTTTAAATAAAAGTGCATAAGCAAGCTAAAAAATTTATTTTCTAGGTAAATAAAGCATGGGACCAGTTACAAAAATTTTTGACTTCATAATGTAATTAAAGATAGTAATATATAGAATTTTTAAAGTTAATTATTGGGATTATATTCTGAAAGTCTACATTGTTTTTGGGATATATACATATTTGATGAAAAAATTGTGAGAATCAAATGTTTTGTATTTTTTTTTTTTTTTGTTTGTTTGTTTGTTTTGAGACTGGACAAATTACCAAAATGTGTATATTGAACTAATATATCATAAAATGGCAATTTAAAATATTTGTATATTTATAAGATGTTATTTATAGTTATGAAAGAAATAAAGTTATACTAATATATTTTCATATTTTTGTGTTGTCAACTAGAAAAGGGTTATTTGGATCTGTTTTCTTACTAACAAATAATTATGTTGTTTAGACAATGACATTAAAATTTCTTTAAAGGCCTACTTATAGAATTTCAAAGTAGTAAAGATTAAATTTCTATTTATACAAATATAGTTAAAATTTGCTGAGTTTAATGGTCTTTTTTTCTTTTAAGAATTCTGACTGAACAATACCAGTGCTACCTTAGAGATCTTTTCCATGATAACCTATTCAAAGAAAGCAAATTTTTTATGTAATTTCTGTCATGCTCTGCTTCCAAAAAATCCATATAAATCATGAACTCCTAAATTATTCCATCATGAATATTAAATTGAATAATATATAATGCACATCTTTTTAAATATTTATTTTCACAGTTGGGTTTTCTATGCATAAAGATGCAGGGAGTGGATGCATTTTCATCGGTCAGACTTAATGAAGATGTTATTTGTTATTAACTTCTTCTTTTTTTTTTGCCTTAGTCCAGCTTAACAGCGGGGTTGACACACCTGGGTTTTATTTTGAATCTCCATTTGGCCCGATCATGGGCCTGGTCTGGGTGTAGGTCCACAGCTTGCAGGTCATGGTGTAGTGTGTCCAACCAACGCTGTCTCAGGCAGCCCCTCAGGCGGTACCCAGGTACCTCCAAATTTAGGCCCATGTGGATGATGGAGTCAGCACGGAGCACATGGCCATAGAGGTGTAGGCACCACTTGCGCATCTCAGCTGATCTCAGCAACGCCATACCGGGCTCTGATGTCAACGCTGGGTACTCAAATAAGTCTGGTAAGGCCACTCATCCAATGCAACATTCTAGTTTCCATAGTATCAAGTCTGCTGTTGACAACGTTCGTAGTTGGCCTGCATCCGGCACCATACAGTGCGACAGGCCGGACAATGATTCGATAAATCTTTGACTTGAGTTGGTCCTTGATGCGTCGGTCGCACAGCACACTTGTTATTGAGCGCCACTTCAGTCAGGTGGCATTGACGCATGTGACTGCCTCATGGTACAAGTCACCATTGGCAGAGATCCAATATTTAAACTGCTCAGCACGGGGAAGGCTGATGCCATCGACAATGATTGTGCCTTGCTCAGTTGGGTCTGTCGTTAAGTACTCCGTCTTCCTCAGGTTCAGTTGGAGGCCATGTTGTGTAAGGCGACTACACCACATCTGGACAAGCTGTTACAGGTCGATCTTGTTAGTGGAGGCAAGGAGCACATCGTCAGCTTACAGTAATGTATACGGTACATGTCGCTGGATGTCACATGTGATGGCATCCATGACGATGATGAAGAGAAGTGGGGAGAGAGTGGAGTCCTGATGAACACCGATGGAGATGCGAAATGGTTTTGAGCTCCCAGTGATGCCATGGTTACGGCTTGTTGGATTGCAGTAGAGCAATTGCACCCAACTGATAAGTTCCTTATGAATGTGATGTTGGCGAAGAGCAGCCCAAATAAGCTCATGTGGCACATGGTCGAATGCCTTCTCAAGATCAAGAAAGGCAATGTGCAGCAGGATCCTCTTCTCATAATGCCTCTCATTGAGGAGTCAAGCAGCGAGGACATCATCTATCATGCCACATCCCTTGACGAAGCCTGCCTGGTTTACAGTGAGCTCAACAAGGTTGCAGATCCGGTGGTCTAAGACACGCTCAAACAACTTCATATTGTGCGAAAGAAGTCAGATCGGGTGGTAGTTTGAGCACTTGGCCGGACTGCCTTTCTGTTTCCAGACAGGCACTGTAATACTCTGTTGCCAGTTGGTGGACATCTTCTTCTCGATGATCAGGTTGAAGAAAGTGGAAAGCCAAATCGATGGCCTCCAACCTTTTGCCCTCCAAAGATCTGCAGCAATGTCATCTGGTCCACATGCCCTTCCAGGCTTCATCTTCATTAGTGCATTCTCAATCTCTTCTTCAGTAATTGGCTGCACAGGTCCAGCTGTGGCGGGCAGTTCCGTGATAGGTGGATGAGGGAACTCCTCGGAGGAAATCTTCTCGAAGTAACCCTGCCATCGCTCCAACATGGCTTGTCTGTTGATGATCAGCTTGCCACATTTGTTGTTGATGCAGTGAAATTTCTTGATGTCTTGCGTTTGCCGGTGATGGCTTTTTGCAAGGCGGCAGAGGAGATGCTCACCATCTTTCCCATCAAGCTGCTCATAGATTATCTTGTAGTGCACTGCTCGAGCTGCATCAATAGCTTTCTTAGCATCGTGGCTGGCATCTCGGTATATCTACCAGTTCTGCAGAGTCTTGTTGTTGAGGAAGGCATGGTAGAGCTTTTCCTTTGCACAGACTTCTGATTTGACATCATCTGTCCAGAGCCAATTTTCATGCTTCACAAAGCGCCAGCCTGGGATGGTACGGCTGAGTATCAATTGGGCAGCCCCTTGGATAGACCGCCATGTCTCCACAACAGTTGTCATTTTTGTTACTGTATTTGTTAACAAATAATGTTATTAACAAATCAAATGTTATTTGTTATTAACATTTACAATATTTTTATAAAACTCATCACTACTATCAAAATAAAGCTCTTTGCCATTTGATGATAATTAAAAATATAAAACGTTATAAGTAAAGGTTTCTTCTTCCAATAGTGAGACTAGTGGTATTTATCACATCTTTCTTAATTATCTTCAATTAACAGAGACAGAGATTAAAACAGTTCACTTTATTTAGTCTAACAATGCATTTTGGATTGGTAATTTTCCAATCCCTCTTTGGGCTTGCAGCTTCAGTGTCTAAGGTTGTTGTCTACAACATAATGAACAAAACATTAGTTCGTGTTAATATATTTTTTTTTTTATCCACAATGATGGATATAGTGCACAATTTGTACAGTACATATCCTAATGGTGCAGTTTCTACATTTCTACATATTCTTTTTCACTTACTGGCCTGTTTTCTTTGTCTATTTTTGATGGACAAATACAACACTTCTTCCATTTCCCATAATTATTAGCTCATTATCTTTTAGAAGGATTTTAACTTCACCAATGTGGTTTATAACATTAGGGTTTCTCGTTTTCCGGTCCTTTTCTTGTCCCGGTATTTCGAGAAAAACTGATGTTTCCCAGGATATAATTATTTTTAAGATATAAAATAAATCTCAAAATCGAATATAATTCTTCTTAATTTTTGAATTGAGTTGAAAATTTAAAGGAAAAAAAATGAACTTAGATTAAACTTCTAACTTAGAAGGTAATTTTCATTGTTTAAATCAGTGTTTTTCAACCTGTGGGTCGCGACCCCCAGGGGGGTCACAAAGCCTTACACTGGGTCGCGGGTAAAAGAAAAAGACAAGTGTTTGTAGGTCTACACTACAATAAAAAAACTACAATCTCAGTGAGAAGGCTGTGACTGTTTATTTTACAATACAATTGGTTTATTGATCGATATTTAGGTCTCTACAGAAAGAAACTTAAATACGTAGTTTTTAAAATCACTGACATAGTTTTAATATGGCCCTGGGGGTTCGCCAGAATTTTTTAACTTGTAAAGGGGTCGCTTATTGAAGAAGGTTGAAAAACACTGGTTTAAATAAAACAAATATTCTAGGTAGCTCTTATGGCGGCACTTTCGAAATCTTGACACCACGCGTGCTTTGAAAGTTAATCTAGTGTCACTGCCTTTAGTTTACAAATTTTCTAACCTCATTTCAGTTCTAGATTAATTTCCTAACATTTTATAACTCTGTTAAGAGTAATTTAATTATTCAGGTTCAAAAAGTATATATTATGTGAATAATTTTTGAAGTTTACATCTGATATTTTGTCGTTTATTGTAATGGTGGAGTTTGCAAAACATCAACAATTTTCTTGGCATTTTTTAGTATGGGAATATTCTGAATTTAATTTTGACAAAAGAATTTCATCAGTTGGTTTGTTCGTCATAAAGTTTGGTAGATGCAGATTGTTCGAAATGTGATGGTCGTCGTAAATTAAATTATCGAAAGGATCGCGATTCTGTTTCTTTTAGATGTCATAAATGAAAGATGAAGAGTTCATCATTTGAAGTAATTTTTAAACGTAAATCTTGGAAAATTTCTCGGAGAAGTACTTTTTCGTTTATTTGGCATCTAATTTGCATAGAACGTACTGTTTGGCTATGGGCTTGAGTAGTCGAACAATTATTGACTGGGCGAATTTCATACGACACATTATGATTGTTTCATCGTCTAATTTTACCGGAATGAAAACTGGATGGACCTCGAAAGATTTTCGAAATCGACGAGATTGTTGAGCAAAAGGAAAAAAGTAAAACGGTTCGACCAGTTTGTTCAGCATACGAGTAAGTTTTATCCAGGAGTGGGACGTGTTTTAGTTCGGAAAGAACCAGATATTGTACTTCCAGCCCTAAAAGTAAGTATCAATAAATCCGAAAATCGTAACAGGAAGAATGTAGATGTGTGTTAAAGATGCGGAAAAAGTTTCTACTATGGAAAAGGATGAAGTTACGAAAGAATCATCTGAACCATGTTTTTTATCGAATAAATCGGAGAAAAGGAATTATCAATAGAAATATGTCAACGGTGAGTGAAAGATTTTTTTCTTTAAATGTCGGTGTAGTAATCTTGTTTGTGGACGTCGCGTTCACAAACAAGATGGCGACCGAAAGTGCCGCCATAGGGACTACCTAAGTGAAATTTTACCAATCCGGTTTATGAAGGAAAACTTCATCCTTGCATACTTCATACTCGTTTTTATCCTTGCCCAATTTGCGCAACCGTCGGGTAAAATGCGGGAGTCGGAAAAAATGTGTCGACTCTGACCCTCGCATTTTAAATTTACTTTAATTTTTTTATTTAAATGAAAGAAAATTTGGTTAAAGTCTAGATGCGTGTACCGTCATGGCGGCACTTCCTGTTTTCCGATTGCTAGCCTCGACCCCGGCGCGGTATGGAGAAGAGCGCTGTCGCGTGACGACGCGAGCGCCTGCGCGTTCTGCT